ACCATGTGTGCTGTAGGTCATGGCGAATCTGCCCAGTAAGTTCGGAACGTACGTATTGCACGTATGATGGTTACAGTTTATAATAAATAGATGTTCAATATATTTTAAAATTGCTGGGAGTGCACCTCAAATGTTCTCACCACAAAAAAAGTCTTTGAGGTGATAGAAATATAGTTGGGCTTGACTTAATCATTCCTCATTGTGTATCCTGACATTGTTTTGCACCCCACAAAAACATGTCATTTGCCAATTTACTATAGAGTAAAACATTCCTTGACCTTGCATATAGAAATGCAAGTCAGGGGGCAAAGAAAGGCCAATCCAAATACTTTAAAATATTGCCTGGCATTGAATGGACTAAAATTTAAGAGATTAATTTTTTGTCAAAAACACTGCAGAGTCAGGTGAAATAAAACTGACAATATGTGGGTAACTATCAATGCTGAGGGACAGGACCACGGAGGTCATGTTCCCCTCTGTTTTTGGTGTACATTCGAACATTTTCACAATCAAAGGTTAAAACAGTTACTGTGCCACCCAGCCCAAACGAGAGTCTGCCAAGAGCTGAAATCACGGTCTCACAGTGAGTCAAAAATAACAGGGACAAGCACACACCAACCAGTTTGCATTTCTCCTTTTTGGTCCTAGGGGGCGTGCACTTGCTGGAGAAAGAGAGGGGAAAGGCACCTCCCAGTTGAGCATGGTCTTGCCACAATCTCTTCCCGTTTCCTTCTGGGATTGGAGGTAAGGGCACACATGCACCTGGTGTAGTTCTCAAGTCACTAGTGCCAGGATTTGAACTGCACAGTTGGCCATGGGGGACCCGGCTCCCTTAACCCCCAGGCTATGGGGTGGCCTCCCACTTTTCAATTTTACAAATATCATGCTGCAAAAACCTGCAGGGAGACAACCGAGCCGCTGAGGCCCTGGTCCCCTGCTGGAGTTCCGGAGTCTCAGCTGATCCTCCACGTGGCTGCGCTTCCACCTTTCCCGAGAGACTTAATAAAATAGTCACTGACTTGATTCTCTCCGGGTGGGGCTCATAAACAGGTCAAACTTCTAGTCACTGAGCAATAACCCCGGGCCACAAAGCCTAAGGAAGTGACCAGAGTGACAGTTGAGACCTTGCTTGCCTTGCTCAGCCTTAGGCCACTTCACCAACCAAACACAGCATGACATGAACCCGGAGGCCTGCTGTTTACACAGAACCTCACCCCAGAAGTGCCAAGTAATTTAGGAACGCTCACTAATTAATGCAATTAAGTCTCTCCAGCTTCCCTCTGCACCTCTCCCTCCCTCCTGCTGTGCGAGGCTGTAGGGAAGGAGGCCAGTTTCGCTCATGTTTAGCACACGTGGGAACACATGTGGAAACACATGGGCTGCCCTCCTGGGGGGCACTGCAGAGGCACTGAGCTTTGGAGCATTGGAGCGCCTTCTGGAAATGGACGAAATCCGCTTGGATGAGCACACCACCCTTCATCGGGTCACCGTAAGTCTCAAAGAGAGGCAGAGCGACAGAAAGACAGCAGCTCTTTGTCCCAGCGTGCAAATCAGAGAACATCTGTCTGCCGATTTGATGTCGTAGCAAGGGAAGCCATTACAGGCTGCAGCGTTCTCCTGTGGGTGAGCCGCCACCTACTTCTGAATCGGGTCACCAGAGAGGTGTGACGGAACCTAAACTGGGGCCAATACAACTGGTTTTTCTGCCTCTGGGATCCTGCTGCCCTGGATCCACATCCAAGGTAGATGCTGAGCCTCATTCTGTTGAAGAGAAAGTTCGGAATGACTCCCTCAGTGCCCGATGGCCTAGCATGGAGGCCATGGGCAGAGTTCACATTAGAGCAGGACAGGTGAGGACAGGTGGGGACAGGTGAGGAGTCCAACAATCCACCCAATCCAAGAGCCTCACCATTTTCAAGTCTTGCCTGGAAACACTAAGGAACTGCTGAGCCCTTCCAAGAAAGGCATTTCAAGAGAGCTCCTCCAGGGGTCAGATGTGCTCTGAGGGCTGGCAACCAGCTTCAGGAGGGCACACCTCGTAATCAGGCTGGCTCCCCTAAACCTCCTGATGCTCCTGTGGCGAGTCCGCAGCAGAGCTGGGGGCCATCTACAGTGGCTCAGGTCGGGAAGACCACTCCCAGATGCCAGCTCCTCACCGCTGATTACTCATCTGAGACCCACCACAGGGAAGCCACAGCAGAAGCAGAAAGGAAGCCGCTCCCAGTCCTCAACCTCAAGGAAAGGGCGAGAGGTCCCGATCAGGCTGCCAACTATACCAGTTGCCACAAGTGTCCTGTCTCTCACGAAAGTAAAGTTCCAACCTTCTTGTAAAAGATGATCACTCAGGGACCAGCAGATGGCATAACGGTTATGTCACTGGACTCCTATGCAGCTGATCACAGTTCAAGTTCTGGACTCAGCAGCTTAAAATTCACGCTGGGCACATCTGTGTGTGTCCAAGATCCTGAGAGGAGAATGGAGGAGAAGGGATTGTAGGAGGGCCATCCCTCCTGGAGGTGATTTCTCTCTTTCTGTCTCTCTGTCTCTCTGTCAAGCATACGTACCCTATAGCAAAAATCTCTCTTTAAAAGACACAAAAAGATGGGACCAGCAGTTAGCGTAATGGCTATGTCGCTGGACTCCCACATAATCAATCGCAGTTCGAGTCCCGGACCGGGTGGCTTAAACTTACACCGGGCGCGTGTGCGTGCGTGTCCAGGATCCCGAGAGGAGAATGGAGGAGAAGGGATTGCGGCGTGGCCATCCCCCTTGGGGGGTGATTTCTCGCTTTCTATCTCTCTGTCTCTCTCTGTCTGTCTGGCGAGCGCATGCGCCCTATAGTGAAAACCTCTCCAAAAAAAAAAAAAAGACACAAAAAGATAATCACTCAATCTTGTTGAGGGAAGCAGAACAAAACGGCCGGCTAGCCCTTGGAACATGGGAGGGGATTTCAAGTCCAGAGGCATGCTGCCCTAACGTGATGCATTTGGGTACTTCAAAAGTTTGAAATGATAACTTTCTAGTAACAGGAGGCTCTCTCTTCCAGTCCCTGTCTGGATACTGCCAACTGCTACAGTTCCTTTTAAAAGTAGCTTCACTTTGTTAAAGTAAAACAGACTTCAAAAAAGAAAGTATTCAGCCCAAGGTCTACTGAAAATGAATTCTAGCTTCAGAGACAAATGTGAACCGCATGAGTTGATGAGGACAAGCAAATTCCTTTCATGGCACGCTTCGCTCTAAAACTCAGTACTGTACCCACCAGCGTGGTGTGGACTCATCTCAGCCCAGACTCGTTCGTCACTTTAAAATCTTCACTGTTGAGAGAATAAAGGATTTTTTTCCACGTGGCTTCATAGGAACTCTTAAAAGACTATGAAGCTTGGCTTCGTAATCCAGCCGAAGGACAGTCTAACCTACCTGATGCAGCAGCAGGTCTGCACCATGAAATTAATCTCCCAGTTCTGATAGGTGTGGTATGAAGCAGGCATCTCAAATGGAATGGAAATGTCTGTGCTTTTCTTTCAAGGCCATCCCCAATGACCAAACTTGGACTTTTCGGGACAGAGCACAAATGGGAATAATCTGATAATAACTTAATCTACAATCCACTGCACGCTTTTGCTGAGAATACTGGAGACATTGTCTCCGTAAGCCAGTGGCTGAAATCAAGCCACGTAAGAGTAATTCGTGAAGTGATCCGTGAAGTGGACATGGGAGAGGTAGACTTTCCCAGTCACGTATCCTAACCGCTCTGTGAAAACAAGACCAGAGACACTTAGCAAGTGCGGTGCCAGCCAGAGCCTGCCACATCGGCCAGTCACCGATGTACAGGGACCCAGGCCTGCACTTCAGGGGCACGGCGGGACACCTAAGCTTGTGCACCTGCTCTCCGGGGTTGCAGCGTCACATCCTGCCTGGTTTCCCTGGGTTTGGTGCCACCTAGGCTGCCTTCATTGGCCACAAAGCCAGCAACCAGAGGTTGGCCAGACCAAGACATTCCAAACAGCCACACACAGGCAGGCGGCCTGTCACCCAGTACAGAGGCAAACTTCTTAGCCCCTCTGAGCCTCAGTTTGCTCATCTGTAACATGGGGAAAAACGGGCTTCAAAAATTTTACAAAACTGTGAAACTGAGATTATGTTTCTGAAGTCCTCAGCACGAGCCTGTCTCAGGGCTCCTGAAGCCCGTGGTGAAATACCGTGGGGCGGAATGATGCCCGGACAGTGGCTGGGTGGTGTATACGCCTCCAAGTCGCACAAGTCAGTCCTGAGGCTTCCCTTCTCCACCAGCCATGAACAGGAGACAAGGGTGCCCCCCCGCGGTGTGTCCCCGTACCCCCTGGAGAGGAGCCTGTCTGCACAAACCAAAGGGTTCCACTAACAGATGCTAAAGACGGGCGCCGAGCACACAGCAGGCCGGCTCCCCGTCCGCCCCTCGAGGGTCCTGAGTGGGTCCGCTGCCGGCCACACCAGCGCCAGGGCTAAAGAGCAGAGCTGGCGCTTCAGCAATGCAACTCCGAGGAAGGGCTGCGGCCGCCCAGCGTCACCCGGCCCAGCCCAGAGTGCTCCTGGGCGTCACTCGAGCCCCTTCATTCAAAAATTCCGCCCCCGGTTCGCACAGTTCCGACGCCCTGGCG